ATGACTGCGGACGCACAGACACATGACTGCGGACGCACAGACACATGACTGCGGACGCACAGACACATGACTGCAGATGCACACACATATGACTGCAGACACACACATATGACTGCAGACACAAACATATGACTGCAGATGCACACACACATGACTGCAGACATACACATATGACTGCGGACGCACACACTCGACTGTAGGCGCACACAAATACAGGACTGCAGGCATATCAGTTGTAAATGCATGTAACTGCAGGGAAACGTGTAACTATGCAGGCATGCGCATGTCTACAGGAACTCAGACAAGCAATTTTCACTGCAAACACAGGCATGTGACTGCCGGCGTAATTCATTAGATTTGCTAGTTTAGCTGGCGGCTGCTAACACTTTGTAGGGTTTGTGCAGCTGGCTAATTAGGTACTGAAGTGATTTACTCCACTGACCTGGAGCCGGGATCTGCTGCGCTGCTTCACACACACACGCACACACACAAAGCACCAGGCCTAAAGACGCCGGCATTTATCGTCACTGCCTGCATGGCGCGAAACAACACGGAAGGACAACTCGTGAACGTGCCCAGTTCAACGACATACAGTGTTAAGGTCTGTAATGAAAAAAGTAACGTGCATAGACAGAGTGACTGCTGAAGGCGTGTGTCCTCGAAGACTAACGTTGTTGGTCTGTAACATAACGCTGTCCTCTCTCATTACCTCATTACCTCCGGGGCAGGTGTTTGTGCGACGGCAGAGGCTCGCTGTCAGCCGTTTTGTACGCGTCTGCAGAGCCGGTGTTCTGCATCGCGATGTGTCAGCAAATCGCCACTGAATTCACACACACAGTCATTTCGAATGACATCATGGTGAATGATGGTTACTGTTATTAAAATGCTGACGACTCCAGTTATATCCAATAGCGTGCCAGCAGTGTTCTTTGTAAGCAAGTGCCTGTACCGGGGTTGCTCTTATGTGTGTGAATGCTCTGACATTTTATAAAAACAAAACAAAAAAGCCCTTTCTTACACTTTCCCCAGAGTGAGTGTGTGTGTGTGTAAGAGAGAGAGTGAGAGACAGACAGACAGACAGACTGCTTCAGTGTCATCGTCCTGTTGGTCTGTCTGTGATGCCCCATGGAGGGCTGAGTCTGTGGCCCAGAGAAATATTCCAGACTCTGGTGGAAAACTCCACCTTAAGTATGTGAGTGTGAACACGGCGTCCCCTCTCCTGCGAAGTAAACAAGATGAGGTACAGCGTGGTCTTCTTCTCCTGCCACCTTTCCCGTCTGCCCCTAAATATAACGTGGGTGTGGGGGACGTTGAGGACACAGCAGACTCGGAAAGGGGTCTGGGTCCTGAGACTGGAGTCACAGGCATTTGTCTTCACAGGTCTGGGTGTGTGCACTTATGTGAACAGAACAGCCATGTGTAAAGTTGTAAAGCTATAGGTTACAGCAAGGCCATGTGACATAAGTGCAAGGCCTGTGTCTGTCTCTCTCTCTGCACCCTGTGTCTGTCTCTCTCTCTGCACCCTGTGTGTGTGTCTCTCTCTCTGCACCCTGTGTGTGTCTGTCTCTCTCTCTGCACCCTGTGTGTGTGTCTCTCTCTATGTACCTCACTCTCCAGATTCCCACTTGTTCACTGCTCCCTGTACTTGCTGTACTTTTTGTTTATGCCTGTTGCCCGCGTGGGTTGGCCGAGCTTCAGAGTCACTGAGTCACGGAATCTCTGTGTTCATGTTTGCTCTGGCCAACGGGCTGCCGTGTGACACCACGGGCCGTACTCTGACGCCGATGACGGCCTGTGCCGCACTTTGCTGAGCCCTAAACGCCGGTGTTGTGTTTCAGGGCTGCCACCGACCACAGCGTGGACAACACCACCGCCATGCTGCGGGACTGGCTGCGCCGGGTGCAGGGCCAGTATCACTATGTGGAGTGGAGGCCGATGGCGGAGCCCCCGTGAGCATTTTCCCCATCGCTAACCCAAGGCCCAAACTTAACACCAAGCCTAACACCAAGCCTCAGTTCTTTACAAACCAGTCATCCACACAGGGTCAGAGTCACATAGACACCAGACAACATGCCAACATCCTGTAGGGGATACAGATTCTGGGGGCTCGGTTTGTTGATGACTAGGGGGTCACCAGGACTGAATCATACATTTCCATCTGACTATAGATCAGTATTTGATTGTAAGGTGCATACTGTATATCTGAATCCTAACCCTAACCAATCACCCTAAGACTAATCCTAACCCCAAACCAAACCTGAAGCCTGACGCAAACACTAACTGTAACCTTCACTCTAGCGTTAACGCCAAACCCAGCTCTAACCCACAACACTCCTGTCACTAATCTCTGATCAGGATGTATCCTACCCACAGCTCTTACACAGATGAGTGGGGGCCAAAGCACTGGTCCATCTCCCGCTTCAGTCACGTGATGAAGCTGAGACAAGCGGCATTGAGAGCAGCAAGAGAACACTGGGCAGACTACGTTCTGGTAAGACGGCGTGCCTGAGGCGGCGAGGCTGCAGGTCAGCGGAGGCGAGGGAGTGAGGCTGTTGGTAGGCGGAGGCTGGGAGGCCGCTAATGCAGTTGAGGCAGTGAGGCTTCAGGCTCATGGAGGCAGTGAGGCTGCAGATGGAGGTGATGCAGTGACATATGCGATGGTCATAAACTTTGAGGTCTGGCTTACTAGGGCAGAAAAAGAAACTCAAACGTATAAATAAGCAGTAAAAACAGAGCAGGTGGGGAAAATTTAGACATTGGACCATGTGATCACCTGACTCACCCTTCAAAAGACAGTGGCCCTACTCTTCCCCCCCTCCCATATAAAGAAAAAAACAGATTAAGTAGGAAAACAAAATGCTTCAAACCATCCCGGTATATTTCTGTTCATGTGCTTCACACATCCGCAGCTCAGTGCGCCACTCAAAATATTCCACTGCAGTCTTTAGAGCTCAAGTGTTGCTCCTTAGCTGTCTTGCCACCTGCTGTCCAGTTGCCACCTGCTGTCCAGTTACAGATGAAGTGACAGCACTGCTGAATGTACAGCGACTGTAGGCCCTGCAGGTCGGTGTGCTCGCAGTAACCAGTGACACTGACTGTGATTTGTGGACTGATTGTGACTCATCCCCTCCCAGTTTGCAGACAGTGACAACCTACTTACGAACCCCCGTGTGCTGACGCTGCTGATGGCTGAGAACCGAACCCTCGTGGCCCCCATGCTGGAGTCGCGCTCCCTCTACTCCAACTTCTGGTGTGGCATCACCCCCCAGGTACCTTCGTCTGCAAACAGTCAGCGGCCTTTCTGCTTAAAGACAGCAACGAATAACATAGGTCAGAGGTCAGTGTCTTGCTGGTTGGGTTTGCTGACCCCCCCCCGCCTTCCCCATAGGGGTACTACAGGCGCACCCCCGAGTACCAGCCCATCCGCGAGTGGAAGCGGCAGGGCTGCTTCACCGTGCCCATGGTGCACTCCACCTTCCTGCTGGACCTGCGGCGGGTGGCCAGCCGCACACTGACCTTCCACCCCCCCCACCCGGACTACAGCTGGACCTTCGACGACATCATGGTCTTTGCCTTCTCTGCGCGGCAAGCAGGTCAGGTTTGGGGGGGGGGGGCGGAGCTTCGGGCGCGGGGGGCTGGCACACCGTCAGCCTCACGGGGTAAGCTGTGGAGGGGGTGTAGCCGGGCAGGCCCCCGCCCCTCGCTCCAGCCAATGGGGAGGCTCGAGGGTTTTAGTGTCGTTTCGGTCTCAGGCGGCTTCGCGTCTGATGGAGTGATAAAGGGAAGTAGACACAGGAAGTGGGCAGGACTGGAAAATAAAAACAAGAGGCTGCTCTGTGGCCTCTGATGGCGGTAATGAGCTCTGAGAAGGCGGGGGGGAGGGGGGGCCGAGAAATCAACACGCTGAACACACGCTTCCTAACGTTTACGTGCATTGTGTGTCTAATACACGCATAATTGAAGGAACGGACGTGCAGACCACATATGTATTCATTTGTTTGGGATACGGGCACCCGAGCACATGCTTCATCCACGCGTGTGTCTCTCCGCAGGCGTGCAGATGTACGTGTGCAACAGAGAGCACTACGGCTTCCTGCCTGTGCCCCTCAAGCCCCAGCTGGGCCTGGAGGACGAGGCCGAGAGCTTCGCCCATTCCGTGGCCGAGGCGCTCCGTGAGTAGGGGGCCCCCTGCAGGCGGGGGGGTACCTGCCCTTTGTCGGGATGCCAGTGTGAGTGACCCCTCGCTCTCCCCCCAGTTGACCATAACATAGGACCGTCGGAGAACCTGTATGTTCCGCCCACAGCCCAGGATAGGATGGGCTTTGACGAGGTAATGCAGTGCTGGTCTCTTCTGCATAATTATTGCACTGATGTCAGACCCAATAACTCTCCCCCTGCTGTTACCTCCCCCACCCCCCCCCTTGCTCCTCCGCCCTCTGCTGTATCTCCTTTTCTGTGACCTCGCTCTTCTTTCCTCTTTCTCTCCTTTCCTGTGATCTCCCCCTCTCTCTCTCTGACCTTCTCCTCTTCCCTCTCACACTCTCCCCCCTCTCTCTCTCCTACTCCTTTCCTGTGATCTCTCCCCCCTCTCCCTGTCCTTCTCTTCTTCTCTCTCTCACACTCTTCCCCCTCTCGTTCTCCCCTTTCCTGTGATCTCTCCCCCCTCTTTCTCCCTCTCTCTATTTGTCCATCTCCACTTCCCTCTCACACTCTCCCCCCTCTCTCTCCCTCTCCTTCATCTGTGCCCCCGTTCAGATCTTCTTGATCAACCTGAAGCGGCGTTTGGACAGGCGGAGGCGGATGCTGAGCACACTAGAGACCCTGGGCATTGTGGTGACGCTGACGGATGCAGTGGATGGCAGGTAAGCCCTCGGGGGGGGGGGGTTTCCTGCAGCCCCACAGCCCTCAATGCTGAGTCTTCCCCTGCCCCCCACCCCCCACTCCTTCCTCAGGGCTCTGAACACGTCCCAGATCCAGGCGTTGGGTATCGAGATGATTCCCGGCTACAGCGACCCGTATTCGGGCCGTGTTCTGACCCGCGGGGAGATCGGCTGCTTCCTGAGCCACCACCAAACCTGGACGCAGGTACACCAGAGACCCCTGGGTCACCAGCCCACCACAGTCACACCTCAGTCTGTAGCTCTTACACAGGAACAGACTCAGTACAGCCTCACGCCTGGAGAAATGCCGTATAATAAAGGGACCAGGTGTGAATGCGTCACGCGGCATTGCGCCCCCAGGTGGTGGAGCGTGGATTGCGGCAGGTGCTGGTGCTGGAGGACGACATCCGGTTCGAACCCAGGTTCAAGAGCCGGCTGAGGACCATCATGGAGAACATCGATCAGGCCGGGCTGGACTGGGATCTCGTGTGAGGGCATCTGCACTCTCGTCGTTGCCGGCGAGCCGTGACCGTTAGTTTCGGCAGACATACCACTATGTATTTGATGTGGGAATGAATGTCTCGTTCTACTCTGCCCCCCCCCCCCAGATACGTGGGTAGGAAGCGGATGCAGGTGAAGCAGCCGGAGCAGTCGGTGGCTGGCGTGGACAATCTGGTGGTGGCAGACTACTCCTACTGGACACTGGGCTATGCGCTGTCCCTCCAGGGAGCCCGGAAGCTTCTGCGGGCTCAGCCTTTCGGCAAGATGCTGCCCGTGGACGAGTTCCTGCCCGTCATGTTCAACAAGCACCCGAAGTGAGTGAGTAGGGCGGCGGGGGCCACGTGGCACGCGGGGCCCCATCCACACACCCTGCTGGCGCCCCCCCCTGACCATGCACAGGGCCCACATTGTTCGGGGGGATCAAGGCGAAGGGGCCCCTCCCCTCGCACAATGGCTCCCTGTTCATCTGGCCCCTCCTGGGGGGATCCTGCACGGTGTGCCCCCCCTGCCCCTCTTCCCCTATCACGCACTCCCTGTATCCTGCCCCCCCCCCTCGCAGGAATGCGGTGCTGAAAAAGCTGTTCCGGTCTCTTGGAAGACAGGGACAGAATTGCCTTGATGCAGGGAAGAGGGTTCAAGCGTGTGTGTGTGTGTGTGTGTGTGTGTGTGTGTGTGTGTGTGTGCGAGTGGGTATACCTATCCTTATGGGGACACAATGTCCCATTAACGTGATAAATATCTGTTTCCTGGTCCCCATAAGGGAAAACTCTATTCTATAAAAATCTGTGACTGCTATGAAAAAACTAAAAATGCAAAAACTCTTGTATTTTGCTTGGTTACTTATGGTTATGGTCAGGGCTGGGTGGGGGTTAAGGTTGTCATAGTTAGCATTAGCATTTTTCCCATAGAAGTGAGAGCGGGCCCCATAAGGATAGGTATACCCGACATATGCGTGTATGTGTGTGTGTGTGTGTGGGTTATGTATATATTACATATAGTATATATAAAAAATATGTAAATCTGATAAAAACCTGTTATTTTCACATTGTGGGGACCATTTTTTCAGTTCCCACAAGGGGAAACTCAATTTTATAAAAATCTGTGATTAGTTGGGATTAGGGTTTTTCCCACAGAAATGAATGGAGAGTCCCCACAAAGATACGAATACAAAGGTGTGTGTGTGTGTGTGTGTGTGTGTGTGAGAACAGTCATGGCGGACACACCGTCAACATGCTCATTGTGCATAAAGGGCCGGAATTATAGGGTTGGATATTGTAGGGGTAGTGATTTTGGTGCAGGGCCCCCGAGCAAAGGCCCCTAACCCCAGAGGGCCCCGGGGATGCTGGCTGACGCTGCTTCGCATTGTTTATCGGTTCAGATAAAAGGGTCTCTGCTAAATATGTAAATGTGCTGATGTCCATTACAGAAGCAGCGGGATACATTAGTAGAAAATTGCAGGACCACATAACCTGGGATATACCTGATACTCACGTAATATGACACAATTTGGATAAACCAATATGTTGCCCAATGTTGCCCTGTCCATCCATCCCGGACAGGGCAACAGTGAATCTGGATCCTATTCAGGGGGCCAAAGCCAGTCTGGGCAGCCAACCAATCAGAGATGGGTACTACACCCCAGTGACATCATAATGTGTGTTGCCGGGGAGACAGGTCACCGCGGTAACCGCTGCCTGTGCCCCTCAGGGTGGAGTACATGGCACACTTCGCAGAACGGGACCTGCGCGCCTTCTCCGTGGAACCGCTGCTGCTGTACCCAACACACTACACGGGCGAGCCGGGCTACGTCAGCGACACGGAGACCTCCACCATCTGGGACGACGAGGCGGTGAGCACCGACTGGGACCGGGAGCACACCCGCAAGACGGCGCAGCAGGGCCACATCCAGCCGGCGGCGCAGAACAGCGTGACGGGGGAGACACCCCCCCCCGCCGCCCACGCCTCCCGCGATGATCTGTGACCCCCCCTCCGAGGCGAAGGGGCTATGTATGGCTCACACACGACCATCTGCAGCAAAGCAGCAGGCTG